TGTACAGTACTCCCAGGTTTTCCAGTGGTTCTCTAACTGATGTCAGCTCATGATGAAATCCTCCATTTCCAATGTGTTGACATGAAAATACATGTTTGAGAATATAAGCGTTTGTAAACAAAATCTCTCCTGCTGATTATCAGATAGGTGAGTTATACTCCTTTACATATCTCAATAGACTATCAGCAACGTCACCGCCGGGAAGTCATGAGATAATTATTATTTGTTTGCAACATAATCTGATTTTTACACCAAAATATTATTAGACTGCATGCGTAGTTTATTCTGTTTAATGAAAGTATTAAATATCGTAGAAGATAACACTGGTGCAGACAGACAAAACAACTGGAACTGGATAAATGATTAACAAAGTTATTTATCTTTTGAAAGAATAAACGAATATTCTGACAAGAACGAAAGATGCTGAAATGTAGGTGCGGATGGAAATTTCACTCAGGTGGAGGACTGTGCTATGTAAACTATACAAGTTTAGCTAGGGGAATAGTGAGAGTTCAAATTATACAGTAAGAATAACTATTGATCAGAATAGCAAAAAATGGAAAACTCCGAAATCGTTAGCAGTAAACTAAACACAACACCTGCCTATTTATGAATACAAAAACTATATAAGTATCGGTCAGTATAACAAAAGATAGAAGGTGATTAAATTGGTTGCACCACAATTTGTTTGCCCTGAGTCGTATTTTATCTAACAAACAGATGAAATTTAATGAGAGTGAAGAAATAGCTGCTATCTCTTTCAATCCGAAAACTGAATATTTATGCACTGGAGAAGATTCCTGTTATCTTTTTATTCTGTTTGTAAAACACATGAAATACTTATTTAGTACACATTGTGAAATTCAGTACTTTTCATTTTCATATAGACGAACATAGTTTCAAATAATGAAGTCATAAAACGTTATTAGTAGCTGATGAAAATCTTTGAAGGAAATGCCGGTTAACCTGCTTTGGCTACTGATATCCCTCTCAAAAAAAAAACGGATTCAGCTGCATATGTCAAAATGTGATGCAGGTTGGATGTCTTTAAAAAGCTTATGTGGACACAAAAATACAGGTGTGAATATGAACCCAAAAGGGGATTCAGATAAGATTTCAGATGTTTATGAAAATGAGTTCTATGTAAAATGGTGTCTAAGATAATATTAGATTTCAGAGGAAATGTTACACAAATACATTTTAGTAAATATAACATTATTCTTTTTATTCTGTTACCATAATTAATTGTTTCACAGAGGCTGGTATTGATATTATGTTGTCATATTCCCAAAATTTAGTTTGAAAACAAGTGTTTTACTTATTGTAAGTGATATGCTTATTAATGCACAAAAATTTTCATAAAGACATTTGTGTCGCATACCTGAGCTTTATAAGAAATCAGTGTAACCACAAAATTGCCTAACATGTAGCTTAATGTTTATTCATCAAAAGTAGATGTATGGTGTTCTAAAAAGACGTGGGATAAGTTCATTATTTTTATTATTATTGTTTCCTTTAATTTCTAGAGGAACATAGAGCTTCAGCCACACGTCTCCATTGCGTTCGGTTCTCTGCCAACGTTTCCACCTGGTTCCATGTCTGCCCACATGCCTTCATCTCCTCTTCACATGACCTCCTCTATGTCACTCTCGGCAGATCAGCTCGCCACTTCCCTTTCGGGTTCCACTCGAGCGATGGCTTGTCTAGTGATGTCACTTGATGGTTTCCTCAGAATATGGCCAATCCACCTCCATTTCTTCCTGCCTATTTGTTTCACAATCGGTTCCTGGTTGGTTCGTTTATTCCCAGAGATCCCTGTTGCTAGTCTTTTCTGGCCAGCCATCTGATCTTGACTATTGAGCGGAGACAACTGTTGATGAAGGTCTGTAGTTTGTTTGAGATGCTCTTTATGACTTGCCAAATCTCTGATTCATCCGTATATTAGCACTGACTTCACATTGGAGTTGAAAATCCGGATCTTATTTTTCATGTTGAATGCTGTTGACTTCCACACAGACTAGAGAGTAATGAAAACTTGTCGTGCTTTCTCGATCCTTCCTTTGATATCCTCGTCAGTTCCGCCTGTAGTTGAAACGATGCTTCCCAGGTAGGTAAAGGAGGTTATTTCTTTCAGGTTCCTCCCATTTATGCTGATTGTTGTCTGTTGTTGTTGCTGTTGCCCAGGAATCTTCATAGCCTCTGTTTTCTCTGTGTTCACCTGGAGTCCTATCTTTGATGCCTATTCTGTCAACTTATTGCTTTTCACTTGCAGTTTGTGGGAAATCAGATATCTATCATCGGTGAAGTCCTGATCCTCCACGTTTGAGATGAGATGAGTTCATTCGTCTAATGAATCACTGACAACCAGCTCCATTAGGCATTTATGTATGGCAATGGAACCCATATGCCGTTTGAATATATGACTGTTTGCAAGGTAGATTTCATTATGTAATGAAATAAGTCAGATTTATGGTAAACAATCTTCCACTTGATATGATTATTCCCCAACATAAATAAACATGTATATTTGTAAAATCTCAGCGAAAGTGAAATGATTAATTCCAACGAAACGTTGAGATTTTACAAATATAATTTTATAAATGTCTACTTCTCACTTGGCGCCCAATTATTTTGCAACTATCCGGTCAAATCTTGATCACAGTTCATATGACTAAATAAACATGTTTTCTGGGCATTTCTACACCATATTAAACGTGATCTTCACTATCATGACTTCACTTCATTAAAATTTCAACTTTACAGATATTTTAGTGTATACCTATCCCTACATTTTGAGGCATAATCTTAGAGGTTTTTAATAAATGTTCACATTTACAGAATGTCTGCACATACACACCCTCAAATATCTTAAAAGTTTATGAAACAGCATTGTGTCATAATAAAGCATTAAACGGACACTTACTGTGAATAGTAAAGAATGGTTACAATGCATATAAATACAAACAGTCGAAAAATGCCAATAAATGTTTAACTCTAGACTGTATCCAAAACATGGGTCATTTCAGTTATGTTTCTTTTTTGAATACAGGCGACACTACAGTTCTATAGTGATTGTTATAAGTACATATTTGTATGTATGTTTGACTGTGTGAAAATACATCTAGGGATTTAGATGCACACTTATATGTATGCGTTTCCATCAAAGCAGTATAGATTTGGTAAGGCAAAACACCACAGCTGAAAATATACATTAAAAGTGTCACTTCACAGTATATGCATGAGGATCTAGACAAAAGCTTGTGCTTAGTACTAAAACTGAACATGACAGATTTTAAATTCCAATAAAGGATGTTAGGTTTTGTAAAATATTCGAACATGTTTCCAAGTTTTCTTCACATACACTTAAAATCAAATAATTATTCATGCAGTTTCATTACAACTACCCACCTACCTACTAAATTTTGTATTCAACCTGAAAGTCTCTGTAAGGCATTCGGAATAAAAAATTTAATTTTTTAGAAATCCTAATAATAATCAGTTTTAATATTTTTAGCTTTCATCAACAAATGAGGGTCTCTTGTCCTCAAGTATCTTCATTCAACTGTATCCACCATTTATTAAATATTATATTTGTTACTAAATAAAAAATAAGTCTAAAATTCTAAATGTTCAGCACGGTTAAAATATATTTGTATGAATAAGAAAACTACATTCCCATCAAATTTGATGTAGACAAAGTAGGGTCAAAGACTATGGTCTTAAACTGGTGGAGTTCTGAAGGGCACATCACTTCACTTTGGATTTGTTTAATACGCCAAGTATCCATTGGACAATAATGATACAAGCAATGTCATATTTTATTCCACCCTGAAAATTCGTGAAAATGTTAAAATTACAATTTACGTTGATTCAAAGGACCAATCTAGATGCGACAATTGGACTTAGTATCTCAAAATTAGGTGATGCTATTTATCACTTTAATTAAATACAAAATAAGCCTTAATCACTTCTATGCGCAAAAAATGTACCATCTGTTAGCTTTTCTGATTGTCTATCGCTGACAGATTGCCAATGGCTTCATAGTAAAGTTAACTTCTGTTAGGCTTCTTTCGGATATCATTTCTGTTCAAGACTTTAGGTTCAATGTCAGTCATGACAGTAGATAAGCGGTGTTACCAAATGTTTAACAGCAATTCCTCCAATGTAAGAAATATTCTTCATGAAATACAATCCTGTCTCATTGTGTCTAACACTGAAAAATTATACCGAATATAATTTTCCCTTTTTCATAGATTCCGTATGTATGAGATACTGGTTCGTTATGATGTGTATTTGTAAGATGAGCATGTATATATAACTGGCCAGTTTCAACCACTTTAGATGCTTCCTTATAATAAAACTGACTACATAGTGTTAATAATTTCATCTTTAACCTTCTAAACAAATAAAATCAGCCGTCTTCTGTGGTGCTAACTAATTACAGTTTATGAAGTAACTGAAAACTGTGGTTCGTTTCCACTTAAGTAAGCTTTTAAATTATATGCAGGCTTAGCTCGTTAACTTACTCTGTTCCCGCTTAGGCTTTAATGAAGATGCGTCGTATTTCTCCGATGTCACTAGGTTCATGAGTTTGCAGCTTTTCATCGCCCTGATAGTTAAATGACAGTATCGTTTATAGGAAAAACAGTGTCACTGTAGTTCGAAATAGTCTTCAGTAATTTTCATTTGCGTGTTAGTCATTACTTAGAAATTTTCTGAGTACTTTTTCAGTTGATAAATAATTTACTCACTAATTAGCTTCAGTATGCTTTCTTATTCTTTGTTACCTTCTTGGCTTAAACAACAGTGTTGTGTGAAGTAAAATGTGGATATTTGAGAGCTTGTAAGCCAAACAAAGCTCATTTCGATATCAATAAATACAAACTGTAGACAAGTTTGTACGTTTTGGCTTATTGTGATTGATTTCATCGATCTTCCAATTACTAGTTGTTCTAACTTCCTTTTTTCAACATTTTTATGTTCTCTGTTCTCGAATACAGTTCCACCAACCCAAATTCACTACAATGTCTGATTACGGATGGGGACATTCCGGAGTTAAATTTCGAAATCATACTATTGCTTCACTCAAACCTAACCGCTTCTATGAATTTGGATTGAATTTGATCTATGAAAACAGCACCTTTGACCGGTTCCCGAAGATTGGGTCGAAAGACTTATGTACATGTAAAACATACCGTAAGTACTGTCTAATTTATCTATAAAATGCTGTCAAGATAATTTTTTATAACTTTGTAAACTAGACAGCAAATTTACCTCAAACTTATTAGAGTTATACTGCAAGAGAACAGGTACTGTGTTAGTTTTTACATCTGAAACAATGACCACTACATCGTAATGCACAATACTTATTTCACACAGTCTGACTAAAGTTACTTATTCTATTTCTTTTATTCCTTCACGTTCCCAATGGAACATAGGGCTTCAGGCTAGAGGCTTTAAGTTTCTGTAGCAGAGTTTATTTTTAAGGGATGGGGTTGCTAGCCTCATACACAACCTTCCCTCCTTATCAGTCTTAGTGAGGTAAAGGAGTGCGTCGGCCAGGGATCGAACCCCGGACCATGTGCATAGTCGGCGAGCGTCCTAACCGCTGTGCCATCGACGCACACTTATTCTACATCACTGGCGTTTTTCAGTCAAGTAATAAAATCTACAACAGTAGCAATTTTTCCAAAGTAAATCTGACGCATTAATCTCATTCCTTCATTACTACACTTTTATCGTAACCATCCAGTGTTTCACTTGTAGTTTTCACTAATAATGACCGGTTAAATTACTGAACTATTAAATTTCCCATCAGGTGGAGTTCATTAAATTTACTGCACTTCATATTTCCACATAATGTGTTAAATTATTTAATAATGATATGTATGAAATACTAGTTCTATGACACATTTTCATTTATTTCAATTCTTGAATGAAAATTTCTTTATATGAAATAACGACCTTCATATTTTACTAGTAAAGTAATGACTTCAAAAAATGGACACATTTGTGTAACCTGAGGCGATGTTAGTGATACTGGTCCAGTTTGTAACTCAGCTGTCAACAAATGAGTATAGGAGAAAATAAGGGACAATAAGTGAACTTATCCACTTAAGTGTAATTCAATTCAAACTGGAAAAAAGTCAGAAAATTTCAATGCATACTTTTTCAAAAATTATATTTTTCAACACGTGCTAAGAATAGATACGCTATCCACGTGCATCTGCTGAACATCTCTTCATCATGTATAGGAAAAGAAAATTCTCTGTTATTCAAAAGATATGCATACATAAAAAGGGAAAATTGTTCGATGGACTAAGTTAATTAGGCTTAAATTTCAATTTTTTTAGTATTTATAGTAAAATATTTTGTGTAGCATTCTCAAAAACTGACCACTTTTCCCAGAGGCACGAATTAGTAATTATTCACAATTCAGTTCATCTCAAAAAAGTAAAGACACCTAGAACTGTTTTCATTTACCATCAGAAGCATAGTCGATAGTTTGGTGTGTTTCATTCTTGTAGACTGTTTTGTTAACAGACTGTCATCTCCATTGATGACCACATGTCTGAAGGTTTATAAATTTTAAGTGATTTCATTCCTCTCACCCCACTAAGCATACCTAGAGGTAAAGAGATAGAGGAGTAAGAGAGAAGGATTGAATGCTATAAAAATACGAATAAACAAGACTTGATCAGGGAAGCTATCGTGTTTTAACATCAAACGTACTTCTTCACACACCCCTGTATCACTTTCGCCGAATGGAATTTAGGCTTCTTTTGAGTGAACGCAACGAAACAGTTTTCATGAGTAAAGAAGCAAAAGTTTGTTAACATACTGGACACTCTTCTATTTTGAGATTGCAGGGTAACCAAATTATATGAGTTTGGATTTTGTTTCACCTAAACGACTTTAGAAGCACAAGAGAATTACTTTTCTTGCTAGATTATCGAAGCCATTTTTCTAACTTTTGTACCTAAAACATGCTTCCAACAGAAGCAGGCATTCGTGAAGACTACACTGCTTGAATTGTTTACGTAAATATAGAGAGACACACTGGTTTCAAATTACTAATTACTGCAATTAAATTGACTAAATCAAAGGATTTCTAGCAAATGAGAAGCTTTAAGTCAAACACAAACACAGCTTCAAGTGTGTCCATTTTGGGTAGCAGCGTAAGCAATAGACATCGTCCATTCGTGCCACATAGTGCCATGAAGTGCATTATCTACTTCAAAAATTTTCAAAGAAACTATTAGTAAGTAGAGATGGAAAGTAAGGCTTGTATTGTTGATTCACTTTGGCACTCTGCTGCGTGGTGATTTACGAAAACCACTTTTTCGGTACATGCTCAAGAAAAATTAAGGTGTCTGATTTTATAACGAAATTCAATAGATTTTTGTATACCAGCTTCAAGAAACACCAAGTAAAAGCAGAAAACTTCTTTGTAGCTAGCCACTTAGAATTTAACTACACTACACAGTCACTACAAAAGCTAACTTCGTAAAATAACATGCGTTTACAATAGAATTCAACCTCTAGTGTACAGACAAATCTTAGCCCACAGTTACCCTTTTTTTCACTTGTGACTTCCAAATAAATCAGCATGATAAAATGAAATTGACGAACTCTGTGTTATTTTTTCAAATTAGCTTTTGCATCCAAATATTTACACAAAACACTTAGTGTTAAATATGAAAATTGAAGTGAAATTTTCGTCAACTTAAAAAAACTTTCAAGTATTAGTTTTGTAGGGATTTTGTTTGATTGGATGGAGGAATTCATCATGAGCTCGCGTCACTTAGAGAACCATTGGAAAACCTAGCAGTACTAGACAGTTGTTTCTTCCTAGTTTGGCACCCTTCATCAGTAGGGTGCTGCAGGTTGAAGCTGAGGCAGTAACTCATCGAAGAAGACATTGCGAAATAGTCGCGCTATGTCACGAATCGGTAGGAGTTAGAATTCACGCGCTGGCTATTGGATAGGGCTTCAGTGGCTTAATAGTCTACGAGCTCACCTTTCAACCAGGAGGCCTTGGGTTCGAACCCTTGTGCTGGTTACGCGTCGATGGAGAGTCCAAAACCGGGACGAAAAAGCTGCCCAGTACTCCCAGGATTTCCACTGGTTCTCTAACTGAAATCAGCTCATGATGAAATCCTCCAACCAATTAAAAAATTCTTCCGAGGAAATGAAGTACTGATAATTGAATTTCAACTTCCGTTTTCAGCTGACGTACCTGATGTACCGTTGAACCTACGGTACCATTATATTCAAGGCAATCAGTATAATCTAGAATGGACACCAAATAATGATAACGGTGAACCAATATTCACATACAATATGAAATCCATGTAAGTTACCTCTTTTTAAATAACTGCTGCTAACTAAAATAAATGCTTTCCTATAAACAGTGGATGAAAGATTCCTTTCGTATTGCTTTGTAAACTGACGCTGTTACTTCCAATTAAAAATATTATTCATTTCTACTTACTGAAGATTATTTTTGTTTGTAATAACACGGAAATAATGTCTGTTTATTACACACTTTACATGGTTGTAAATGCAGACACTGATGTATACTAGAAAATGGATAATGCTTATAAATTACGGAAACATCTGGAAAAATAAAGTCAGGTAAACTTACAACCGATATCTAGGATGGAAAATTTTGTACAGTTTGCCGTCAATTTTAATAATAATAATAATAAAGAAAACTACAGATGATGTTGTGTATTTCTTATTTATACATTTTATTCACAATTATAGAAACATGTATATCTACGTAAGGTGATAAACAGTTGCAAAATACATCGAAACTGTATTTTACTTTGTGCATACTAATTTGTTGCTAATAGTAGTACTTATAGTGAAAGCATTGGTTGGTCAAATAACGCAAAAACAATAGTTACATAGGGAATCTACTACAAATGTATCCAGGTGTATCCAGTTAATGAAATAATTCTGAAAAATATATTTCTTTCCTGTAGTTCTAGGCCTTATGCAACACAGACGTTTTGAAGCTCCAAAACAGGCGATTGATAATTCATAGAACGTCTGTGTAAAGACGCCAAACATATTCTCAATAGTACGCACATACTATGCGTATCAATAATCATCTACAAGGAAAGTGATATTATCAGTATTTCTTTAATTACTTAGATTTGTCAGCACTATTATCTTTTTTGACTAATTAATCATCAGCTGAACATTTTACTCACTATCGACTGGTGACCATACTGTCTTATTTTACTCAGAACCAACCCAAGGAATACTAGGACTAAAGTGCTATAAATGTTCATCCCTAATAAAATTATGCGCACTTTGATTGGCTCCTTAAATCTGTATACACATAAGTAACTATTACTTAACTTGTTAAACATACAAACTTTGGTTAACTTTTATAAGCCGTCTTGCATTATATTATGTTTTTATTTGAGCTGAAAATACAAAATGCCTAACAGTTTAACAAGAAATATAGCGCCGACCTATAAAGATCTGCACTGAAATAACTATCTCAGTTAGTGTAAACCCATGAAGTTGACGATTAGGTTTATTATTGTCTTTCAGTAAACTTTATTTTCCTTAAAATGAGTTTTTTGTTTTGAGGCTTCTAAAAAATCATAATTGTCATTGCACTGGGTAATTACTGTTGATTTGGTTAGTTTTGATGTGACTTTAGAAAATAAAGAAAATAACTGTTGTGATTCATCAATGACCTCTTAGCATATTAGATCACTTCGTCTACTATACTGAACTACAATACTGCAAACATTGTAGCCGCAATAATGACAAGGTCTATTTTACATAGCATCTTTTGACACACAGCAGGAAAAAAATTATAACACCACGAAATAGCTTTGGTGCTTCCAACAAAGTCATGCCAATCTCAAATAAATGGAAAGTAAGAAATCAGTAGAAAGAAATAATTCCGTCAGTCTGTATCTATTAAAGTACTAGACACATTACATTGATTACTAACAAGTGTCAAATCAGAGTATCCGATACAGTCCCATAAGAGGTCGATCGCTAGACCAAATAGGTGAGTGCTAACATCTCTGAATGCAACACTAGGTGACAGGGTTTCGGATATTCAAAGGGACATGAATTAATTCAAGGTTGTAGATACGACTTGCTGGCAAGTGCCAACTAGCACGAAACCTAGGTCGAGTAAGACTTCGTGCCAATTGCATTCAACCCAAATATTGTGTAGTGCAGCTTTAGAAGTAAACCAACGTAGCGAATATGATAAATGTAGGGTATATTATTTAGTATTGGAGTTTATCTGATAACGCTCAGTCTAAAGCAGAATCTTCTTATTACCTCTAGCAGCTGTAAATATAACTCAGAGTAAACAGGAATATGAAAGAAACTATTTTTTAGTCCATATCAGTAACACGTGACTGTAGAATGTGCCGTAAATCTTTCACTTACGATAGCGTGACAGCATTAAATTTCAAGCTGATAGAATATTTTATTGAAATTATGTGACAAACTTTAGCTTATTTGTTATGAAGATTAGGGTTTTATTGATATTTGCACACTTATATATAATGACAGCTTTATATAGGTTGTGATAGTAGTACCACATATTATTACCAATGTCACTGAAGTAAGATTAGTTGTGTTGTTGTCAGTTGTTGCAGCAATGATAATAGCATTCATTCTAGGAAATTTGCTTCTCTCGAAGAGTTTCTTCTCATTTGGATATCTATATTCACTGAACACTGAAAATTACTGTCTATTATCTTTCTTTGAACAAAGCGATTACAAGAGATGGAGCAGGAAAAAACGGATCCATTTCATCACAACTACATACAACTACAATCATGAAAGTTGACAGTCACTATAAATTATTTGGAATAATCCCAGTGTGTTTAAGAAACACATCAAAACAACATTTTTCTGAACGTTTCGCTGTGTTAGCCACAGCTTCTTCAGCAGAATTATTCGGATTTTATTGACCATCAAAATATATAGTCAAAAATTGCATAAAATGAAGTGAATTTCTTTGTAGGTCCCCTGTCGATAACCAAGAGTTTTCAATTTTCTGTTTTCCCTTCTGGTTCTTTTTATTTCCGGATTAGCATTCATAATGAAAATTTGTTTTATATTAGAGATCTCGTTCTCCATATCATCATTATCTATTATAATGTTTCTAGCTCTTTTGTAGAGATTTAAGGCTACTGGAACTTTCACTTTTATTGGATGATCTGATTAGAAATTTAAATACTTTTCTTGAATGCGTCTGAAGCCTCGCATATTTTCGCCACGCAGAATGCAGTAAACAGAAGAGAAGGGATAGACTTATCACCTATATAGCAGACTCTAATGAAGCAAAACAGATAAGGCGAAAAAATATTCAATCCTATATTATGACCATTTTTTCAGTTGTTAACCATACAACAAACAACATATATACACACACACAGACAAATATGCATAAATGACAATTTTACATTAGTCATTACAAATGTGTGATGACTACTTACATTTTTCCATTGGTACAAATGTCTACCCACAGGTGACCTTCTAAGGAATTCACTTCATTTTACGTAATTTTTGACTATATATTTTGATGGTCAATAAAATCCGAATAATTCTGCCGAAAAAGCTGTGGCTAACACAGCGAAACGTTCAGAAAAATGTTGTTTTGATGTGTTTCTTAAACACGCTGGGATTATTCCAAATAATTTATAGTGACTGTCAACTTTCATGATTGTGGTTGTATGTAGTTGTGATGAAATGGATCCGTTTTTTCCTGCTCCATCTCTTGTAATCGCTTTGTTCAAAGAAAGATAATAGACAGTAATTTTCAGTGTTCAGTGAATATAGATATCCAAATGAGAAGAAACTCTTCGAGAGAAGCAAATTCCCATGAATGAATACAATTATTATTGCTGCAACAACTACCAACAACAGAATGTGTACAAAAGGCTTTTCAGAAAAGTGTAAATTTCCTTGAACAGAAACTGCAATCTCAGATATTTCTTTAACTTTGGAATTAATACTTAGTTCTTGATGCACCGCTGTGTGGTACATTAAATAAGTTATTCTATTATGGCATTATACTTTATCACAGAGCCTTTGTTTTATTGTTATATTAACAAACATTAATATAAATCACGGAACATGTTCGCCAGTAAAATACCAATAGTTTCAACTGTAATATCTCTAAATTCAGATTTTGCGACTCTTTACCTACCAAAACAACTTTAAATTGTTTGTATTTTATTTTATTCCGTTGTGTTCCAATTGGAACATAGGTCTTCAAGCTTCGAAGTTTCAGTAGTGATAGTGTTGTCTTTTGTGGGATAAGATTGTTAGGTTCACGCTCAACCTTCCTCTTCTACTCGCTCACTGCCGGCTAAGAGAGGCACAGGAGTCTATCGAACAGGAATCAAATCACCGCCAGCGTATTTTATCACTGAATTTTTCAGTAACAACACAACCATATGAAATTCTAATTTATCAGCTTGTGATTGTGTCAGTGTGTGTAATGATGGTTCAAGCACTAATGGTTCAGTGACACTATGAACTTCATCTACATGAGGCTCGAATCACTTGTAGAAGAATTCATACATAACATATGGTCTTAAGATATATGCCAAGATATTATGTAACAGAATTTTCAACAGATGAAAACACGACATTAGACAATAATTACTCTGGTGTGCCGTCACCGTTTGTGTGATAATGGAAATATTCATTTATACAGATTAAAAATATAAAACTACAGATCAAAACTGTTATATTCACAAGACACTGTGAACAGAAATAACTTGCTGGAATCTGATGAGTAGAAAAGATATTTAACAAGGCTTGAAATGCATAAATAGGCTTATTAAACAAAGAAAGTTAGATTTAACAACTAATCCCTATTATTTTGATTGGGTGTTGAATTCAGTAGTGAATGAAAATTTGCTACGCCTTTATGCAAGAAACTAAAAGAAGTATATATATATAAATCAGTTAGGGAAACACTGAAAACCAGGGAGTATTGAACAGCTCTTTTGTCCCAGTGTGGAACTCATCGGTAGTACGCACCCGTTGGGTTTCGGACCCAGGACCTCCCGGTCAAAAGATAACCTCGTAGACCATTCAGGCACTGCGATCTGACTCAATGGCCCATGAATTCTAACCCACACCAATTCGTGAAGAAACTTGAAGCATATCAAATCTGTAGAAAGTAACTCCCGGAAATTATAATTCCATATAATCATAACACAGAATCCCATGAACGTAATGTCTCTGTTATCTATAATCTAGATCTAAAGATTAGACATGTACATTTCCATTAGATATCTGTAGTAATGCATTAAGTTCAGATGTAACGAAGTTGTAAAAACCACTT